CTGGGAACAATCTGATTCCGTGTCACCTCCCTCTTCCAGGAGCTGAACATGGGCCAGCGCTGCTCGGACACGCGCGGGATCGTCTTTGAGGACGTGCGCGTCCCCAAGGAGAACGTGCTGATCGCGGAGGGCGCTGGCTTCAAGATCGCCATGGGCGCCTTCGACAAGACCAGGCCCCCGGTGAGTGCCAGGAGAGGGTTGTTCACAAAGCAGACAGGAATTTCTGCTGCTCACCCCGCACTGTGCCCACCCAGGTGGCAGCGGGGGCTGTGGGGCTGGCGAGGCGAGCACTCGACGAGGCCACCAGGTACGCGCTGGAGAGGAAAACCTTCGGGAAACCCATTGTGGAGGTGCGTTTATGTCCTAGTTGAGACAGTCACAATACAAAGCAAACAATCCCATTTTCAGAGGGCTTCAAACCTGTTTTTACTATAGCATGCATGCTTTTTATACATTCTTACAAAACTCATAGTTTACACTTTACTCATGGGTCAGGAAAGACAAAGTGCTCATTGGAATAGACAGTTGCAGGTTTCTCTTATTTATCCCTCTTTTTTTCTTGGTTTCTATGTCAACGACCTTGGTAGAAAATTCTTTCAGGGGTAAACATGAATCCTCTTATCAAACTTCTCTCTGGCTCACAGAAATTGCTGTAAAACCTCTCCCACACATTTAGAGTTAGACATGGGAACATCTGATCTCAACACAGATCCCAATTCCATAGAACTCCTTGAACACAACTTCCCAAGGGCACTGAATTTGCAAATTAAGAAATTAAGATAAAATTATATATTAGGGAACATTTATTCCCAGAAAGGCCTGTCTCTGGTCCAGTCCCTGTCCTTGTGGCACTTGGGGACACAGTTTAATGATGACCATGATGGTGCCTGGGTGAGGCTTGGCCTTGATGATCATAACGATCTTGTCCAACCCCAAGAATTCCATGATCCTAAGCAGAAAGCTCCTTCCCCTGCAGCCCTCTGAGGCTCACCCGGTGGGTCTCCACTCTCCCAGCACCAGGCCGTGGCATTCCTGCTGGCAGAGATGGCCATGAAGGTGGAGCTGGCCCGGCTGGGGTACCAGCGAGCCGCCTGGGAGGTGGATGCCGGCCGCCGCAACACCTTCTACGCCTCCATCGCCAAGGCCTTCGCCGGGGACGTCGCCAACCAGGTGGCCACTGATGCTGTGCAGATCTTCGGGGGCAATGGCTTCAACACAGAATATCCTGTGGAGAAGCTCATGAGGGATGCCAAAATCTATCAGGTGAGTTGGACAGAGCACTCAATACAAAGTAATTAATTGCTGATTAGTTGCAATAAGGATGCACACAAGCTAAAAAGATTTAGAGACTGAAAGGCATTAAATCATTAAATCACTTCTGAACTTACCACTCACTAGGCAGATGCTTTGGTTGAGATGTCACCAGCATTGAGGTCCATGGACTTATTAATTAGCATTAACTACCCTCTGTGTGCTGCAGAAACAGCCATGGGGCACAGCCCATGGTGATTCACTTCTTCAGATATTTATTTATTGGTTTCTTTTCCAAAAGAACAAAACATGGTCATATTTCCTCATTTTCAGCCCACAGACACCCCTAATCCCCAGTGCTTTTTTTGCAATGTTATTGCCAAGAAATTATCCCATGCCAGAATTCCTCTGCTGGTTCAAGTTTGTTATTTAGCAGGAATGAATTAATTTCCTTAGGAAGCCCAGCGACCTTCACCTTTTCCCTCTTTCCAACACTAACCATGACTGCCTGGAACTGATCCAAACAGGTCTCAGGGAACACATATGGGCTCTGACCTGGCAGCAAGTGACCACAGCTGCTGAGATTTCAGGTGGTTGACATTCCTTTTACAGCTGACTTTAAAATTCCAACTGTTCTCACCAGTCAGGAATTTTTGCCTCTCCAAGGACAGAAAGCAGATGTTTGGAATGAAAAAGTTCTCAGTCCTGATTTCAGTCCTCAGAGAGGAACTTAACAAGCTATAAGACTTTGTCAGAATTGGGCTCCTTTCCTGTTTTAGGGGTTTTTTTCCACCAAGATTCTCCATCACACAGCTCCATTGTCAATGCATGGCTAGGCATGCTGAGATTTTGAAATTGTTCTAATTACTCTCATTTAGTGGGAAATTTTGGGGTGTTTTTCCTGTTACCCTCAATCCCTGCAAGAACTTGGGAAAGGGGTTGGACCTTACAATTCCAGCAGCTTTACTTGGAGAAACTTTGCACAGTTTGGGGAATATTATCCTGATTTTGTGACTGCAGAGAAAGTGGATTTGCAGGTATGAGAGTGATTTGCCAAAGCAAATTCAGGCAGGATTGGGAGCTGAAACACTGAAATCCCCAAATTCTGCTATCCTGGAGCTGCCCTGGGCTCTGCCTGCGGGATCTCTGAATTTGTTCCTGTGCTGGGCACACAGAGGTGTTTGGATAACTGGGAAATCCCTGGATCCCTCCTGCACTGAACACACACCTGCATGGGTTATTGCCTCTTACGGGTCATTGTCACACTCATTTTTCAAGTTCCCCCTCTTCCTGCCCCCTGGTTTGGCACAGGGAGGGGTCACAGGTGTGCAGACTCTGGTCAAGCACCTTTCCCAGCTGCTGGCTCACCTGTTTTTGGTTTTCCCTGCAGATCTATGAGGGCACGGCACAGATCCAGCGAGTGATCATTGCCCGTGAGCACCTGGGCAGACACAAGGCATGAGGGATGCGGCAGCTCCAGGCCTGGTATTCCAGGGAAAGGGATTGTGCTGCATTGCTCCATTAGAAAAACATGGGGAAAGCCCTTTTCCATCAAACTCCTGTTCTTGTGCCTGATCCAGCACAAGTTCTGGGACCCCATCCATCCCCTGAGCCCATCCCACTGATTGACGATCCCAAACATCCCAAAATCCCACAGGGATCACATCGCTCTTTCCAAATCTCCCTTTGGCCTTCAGCAGCAAAGGAGACAAAACCCTTCCCCAGCAAACCTGGATGAGCAAAGAGTGAACAAAATTCTCATTTTTTAACATTTATTTTTGTCAGTGAAAGCAAAAATCCAGCACATCCCAGGAGTCAGATTTGGGATGTTTCTGTGTTTTTAATGGCACCAATCCACTCCCTTCGTTTATTCTTGGGGCTTAGGTGATGGCAACTGGATCAACCTCAGGGAACTTAATAAACCTGACTTTTCCTCCTGTGGAAGGGCTGAGCTGGCTCTGGCACTTAGGCTCCAGGGCCCCAGTTCCCAAGATCCGTAGGAAACACTAAGTTTGGAGCCTTTCAACAGCCAAATCTAAAGGAAAACTAAAGTGAATCCATGTTTCTCGTGCCTTGAAGCAGAATTCCTTGTGATGGGTGAGTGGTAATGACGGTGTGTGAGAGGGGCTAAATATGTCCTGGGAGGAAGGAAGAAGGATGGAGCAATGGGAACGTGAATTTACTCATCCTGTGGAAAAGTGTGCAGGAAATGAGCTGGGCTTGGGCATGGCAGTGTGAGCTGAGCTGGGCCTTGCCCTGACAGACTGATAAAGGCCAGGAATGAGACTCGTGTGGTGCAGAGGATTTCCCTGGAAAAAGGCTGTCCTGGAGCCACTGCCAGGTCCCAATAAATGCTGTTGGTGTTGACGGGGCAGGAGCACCTGATCCCGCACTCCTCACAGGTTCTGGTGGGATTCACCGCCACGTGTTGGTCCCAGCACAGGATGAGCTTATGGGGGGAATGGGGTGGGCTGGGAATGGACAGGGGAGGATGGAATGGGGATGGAAGTGGATGGGGACTGTGCAAAGAAGCCATGCTACAAAAAGCCAAAGGAGAGGAGTCCTGCAACTTTATTTGAACAAAGGGAGAGAGGCCACTGGGGCAAAGACCCGTGGGGGGGTCTCTCTCTCTTGGTTTTGGAGAGTGCAGTCTCTTTTTATTCTAAACTCCTGACGTATGTTGTCCTCTTCCTTTCCCCATTGACTGAGGTACCAGGAAGGTACAGCTTTCCCAAACCACCTGCCACACATCCCCCCTTGTACATGTGTCACCATTTCCCCCTGGAGTTCAGAAGTGCAGGCTGTCTGGGTTCTGCAGATCCATCAGAAGTTCATACCGTGTGCAATACACTTCCGTTTGTCCTATTATCCTACATTTCAGGAGCTCACTCTAGGTCAGGCTGCCTGGGCTCTGTAACAAACTTGCCCGGGTGGATGTTCACAGACATTAATACTCATTTAAAAGACATTAATATCCATTTCTGTGACAGTAGTGAAGAACCCCACACCCATCTTTCCACATCGAGTTTTTTATGAAGACATTAGTAGGACAAAAGCAGCTGGGATGGGGATAGAGGTAGTGTGGATGGAGTCTCCTGGGGAGGAGAAGGTCACTGTGGGAATGGAGGGGGATGGAGATAGAGGCGGTAGAGAGCAGGACGGGGTGGATGAATGGGGATGGTGTGGGCATGGAAGGCGATAAAGGGGGAAGGAAGAGTATGGGATGGGGATGAATGCCCTTGGAGGTGGATGGAAGGCAATGGCAGTGGCAATGACAGGGATGAGGGAAATGGAGGCGGCTGAGGGCGCTTGGACTCAGATCTGTGGGGCAAGATCATCTCACCTATGACATAGGTAGCAAATGGAGATAGGTGGAGCTGTGTGATCTCAGCGCCAAAATAAGCTACGTCTGCTTTTAATATAGGAATTGGAGTGTTAGAGAGCTTTTCCCAATGGTTTGGTCACAGCAGTGGTGAGGAACAGGGAGGCCAAGTGAGGGAAACACGTGGAAAAACCTTCGTGCTCACAGGGGATAGTTTCACGAAACTGGAAAGCTGCAGGAAAGAGAAAAAGATAAAAATTACACGTCTTAGGGAGGGCCTGGGCAAGGACCCACCGGGGACAGCCCCCACCCCGCGCTACTGCGGGGCTGCCGGAGGTACCCAAACTCCATCGGGGCAGGGGAAGAGGCGGGGAATGGGACGGGGCGGGGATGAGGGAGATGGAGGCGGCTGAGGGCGGCTCCCGGGCCGCTGTTCCCGCCCCAGCGCGGCCGGATGCCGGCGGCAGCGGAGCGGAGGCGGCAGCGCCGCGTGGTGCGGGCCGGGCCCGGGGCAGGTGGGGCCGGCGGGGCTGTGGAGGGGCCGGGGCGAGGCGCGGAGCCGCGGGCGCTGGGCCGAGCGCGGCGCTGCCGGAGCGGCGCGGCCCAGGGCGGAGCGGCCGGGCCGGGCTCGGCGGCGGCGGGAGGAGGCCGGGGCCGATGGCGGCGGCAGGGCCCGGGCCGGGGCGGCTCCGGCCGGGGGGGTTTTCCGTGCGGCCGGCGGCGCTGGCGGCAGCGCCGGGCCCGGGGCTGCGCTGGCGGGGCCCGGCTGCAGGCGCAGGGAGCGCCCCGCGCTGGGAGCGGCGGCTCCGGGCTGGGAGCGCCGGGCGGACGGGCAGGAGCAGGAGGAAGCGGCAGTTGTCGGGCCCGGGATGAGCGCTGGCATGTATTATCTGAGCGGAGCTGATGTCTCTCACCGCTTTAGCTCTAGAATTACTCTGAGGCCCGGCAAGCCCCCGATCCCTGTGTCAGTGGAGCTTTTGGCACTTGTGGGATGGAGTCCTCATGCAGAATTGGAGCCAGGTTGAGGAGAGGAGGTCCCAGTTGGGATGTGCCCCATTGCCAGGTGGGGCAGGTGCAGTTCTGGGCTGAGCTGTGGGTTTTGTGCCCCTGCGAATCTCTCACATGTCCCGAATTCCATGGTTTTGGAATTTGTGTCCACGTGCATGTGGGAGTGTTGTCTCAGGGTGTCCCTGAGCCCCTGTGAGCTGTCAGAGCTGTGCAGGTTCTGTGTGTGCAGCTGGGCTGGTGCAGCTGCAGGTGGGATTGTGCAGGCAGGAAGTGGCATCTGTGGTCAGCGTGGCCCTAAACTTGGAATGTTTTGTGCTTCTTGCAGGTCTCCAGTTAAACTGAGCACATTCCGGCCAGCCCAGAGCTATGATCCAGACGCCTGATCCTGTGTGGGGCTGGGGTTGGATCCCAGGCTTCTCTCTGGCCTCTGGAATGATGGGACATCCCTCCTGCAGGCTGTGACCCAACAGAAGAGGCTTCCCTGTAAACCTTGTCTGCAGCTTCCTGGGGAGCTGGGAATGCACAGCACAGGGTGTCACCCACTCCTGAGGAGCTGGGAATGCACAGCACAGGATGTCACTCACTCCTGGGAGCTGGGAATGCACAGCACAGGGTTTCACTCACTCCTGGGGAGCTTGGAATGCACAGCACAGGGTGTCACCCACTCCTGGGGAGCTGGGAATGCACAGACACAGGGTGTCACCCACTCCTGGGGAGCTGGGAATGCACAGCACAGGGTGTCACCCACTCCTGGGAGCTGGGGATGCACAGCACAGGGTGTCACCCACTCCTGGGAGCTGGGAATGCACAGCACAGGGTGTCATCACCCATTCCTGGGGAGCTGCCAGCTGAGTCCCCAGGGCCTTGCTCTTGTACCAGGGACAAGCAGTGGGGTGGCTTAAGTCCCACTGATTCTGGGAGCTCTTGGATCCACTCTGCACCCCTGGGAAGTTTTCTCTTGCAGTCAGCCCCACTTCATTTTGGGTGTTTGTGCTTCATGTGCACTCCACCCACACCTTGGGGTGCCTTGGGATCCACCTACACCCCCAGGGGCTCGGGGGGCCCTGGCTTGTGCTGGGCACCCTGGGATGCAAGGAAAGCAGAACCTACCTGGGGAAGGTGTCCCCAGTGAGAAATGGGGTACAGGAGCTTGTGTGGGTGGGCCCAGAAAGCTGGGAGGGGTCTTGGGAAAGGAATGATGGTACAAGAGACCAGCAGAACCCTTCCAGGGAGGAAACAGCTTGGACATTCCATGGGGAACTGGGCACTGGCACCAGCGCATCAGGTGCAAGGGGGTGAAGGAAGCAGGTGGAGCTGCTCTTTCATGGATCCTGCTCCATGGGATCAGCCCTGTGGAAGAGCGACTGGGGAGGGTGCTCAGGGCCAGCACTGCTCCTTTGGGCTCCCTTTGTCCCCCTCCTGGGATAGCAGTAGGATTTGGAAGGGATGTGGAGCCCAGCTGTACACCAAGCCTGGCACACCTGGGAATTGCAGCGCAGGTGCATCACGGCTCTTGGTCAGACTTGGGATCGCCTCCTCTTGCTGTATGGCTCCTCCTCCAGCCTCAGCTTCTGCCAGGCCCCCTGCAGCACCTCCCTGTCCCGTGCCAGCTGCTCCTCCTTGGCTTTCAGCACGTGGCACTGGAATTTCAGCGCTGCCTTTCCGAGGGATGGGCTGGGAGACCCGACTGTCCCCTGCCCTGTCCTGGACATTCTCATGACATCCCAGGGTTTGAGATCCTAAACTCAGATTCCAGCCCCCTTCACCTGGGGTTTGGGCCTCTCAAACTGGAGTTTGGGATCCTCAGACTATGGGTTGGACCCTTGAACTCTCGTGCCTGAGAGCTCATTCACTGTCTGCCAGTTTCCACCCCAAACTGAGGGATTTCTTATTTTTCATTCCAGTTGTTCAAGGAGGAGCTGGGGCTGTCTGCAAAACGCTGATCCCAGTCTGACCAGCAGGACTGGCACTGGTTTGGAGTAGGGAGTCAGTGGGTCGGTGATCACAGCCCTCTGTTTTGTTGGTTATAAAGTGGCTGGTTTTGCACTTTGTGGATTTTGGGGGTCACACATCAATAAAACTGGAGGATGTGTAGGGGAGGAGCTTATTTGGGGGCACAGAGACAAAAGGGCATGGGGAGACCCCAGTGTGGATTTTGGGATCTCCCTTAAGTGGGGGAGGGTGTTGGAGGGAGCCCAGGTCAAGCTTTGGGGTTTTTGGGCTGTGTTTTGGCATGTCAGGTGTTGGATGGAAGGACCCATGGTGGGGGTCCTGCTTACAGGGGGAGGAGGGGGCTTAGAGGAGGGTCCCTCCTAAGTGGGGCATGTGATGGGAGAGCCCTGGGGACCCCAGGATGTAGATTTGGGGTCCCCTGGACAGGGTGGGTCGGTGGGGGTAGGGTTTCCTGGGCATTGGCACCCCCTGCTCACTGGGAGGACCTGGGGATGGGTTTCCCCTCACCGGGGCTGGGATTTGAGGGTTCCAAGGGTGGATTTTGGGGATCCCCAGGACATATTTTGGGATGTCAGGGTGGGTTTTGTGGTGGGTTGAGGGCTCCTGGATGGATTAGAGAGTTCCAGCACCTGCAGTGCAAAGTCCAGGGCAGGGGCACAGTGGGTCAGACACCCCATGGGCACCACACCGATGTGAGGCCCCAAAAACTGGGGGAGGGTCCCCAAAACAATCCCCCCACTGGCTGCTGCTCCATGCAGCTCCTGGGGGGATACCTTCCACCTTTCACAACTTCCCATCCTTCTCCAAAAGCTGGGTGTACACTGTACCCTTGAAACTGGGGGGGTGTCACAGCCCAAATCTGTCCAATTTCACACGCCCCCCTACCCCAAACCACCATTTCAGGGGTTACTCCATCCATCGACCACCAACAATGGGGAGTTCTCACCCAAACCCTCCAAATCAGCAGTTAACACCACAAAATTGAGAGTCCCCTAAACCAGAAACCTCCCAATTATCTGCCCAATGGGGGCTCCCCACCGCACACTGATCCCCAGAATTATGATCTGAGCACCCAGAACAACTCCAAATTTCAGCTGTCAACCCACTGGCCAACAAAATTCAAATTCTCTCCCTCTAGCACCCTCTAATCCAGGGTGCAAAACTTCCATAAATGCCCAAAATTGCAGTTCCCTGCACAATCCCTCCAATCCAGGCATGTTCCACCTACTCAAAACTGCAGTCCCTCCAGCAAAAAAAAAACCCAAAACTGGGATTTTCCAACACTGACCCCCAAAGATTGGGTTCTACCCTTTATCTTTTGAGGCTGTTCCACATTTTACAGCAGATTCCCTCCAGTTTATTGGTTCAGCCTTACACCTTAGAGTCCCCTATTGTTGTCACACCCTTAATTTTGGGGTCTCACCTGCGGCGCTCTGCATAGCCTTGAGCTGTGTGGTTACCCCCCACTTCCCAGGGGTTTCCTCCCCCATTTTACTGGTCTATCTTCTATTTTTTGCAATTCAACCCCCCATTTTTGGGGTCCAGTCTCACCACTGTTGGTCCTGCTCTGATTTTGGGGCTCACCTGTGGGGCCAGGTTGTCCAGCAGGACGATGTCAGCCCCAGCCCCCGCAGCCGCCAGTGCTTCCTCCGCACTCGAGCACTCAACCTCCAGCCGGCGGGTGAAGCCCCCGGCCCGGCGCACCCCCAAAATCATCTGGGGGAGAGGGGGGTCAGGGGGAACCCCAGAGAAACACCCAATCCCTCTGACCCAATATGGGGTGGGGTAAAATGGGGGGCTGCCCCCTGTGATTGACATAAAATGAGGGATAAAATGAGCATCCTCTTTTACCCCCAGCATTGCTCCCCACAAACTGGGGTCCACTCCCTAGATTCCCCCAATTCAAGGTTATCCCTTGACCCCAAAGTTGGGACTCCACCCCCCCCCTACAATCTCCCCCAATTTAGGGGTTACCCCCCAAACTGGAACCTCCCCTATGCATCCCCCCCCAGTCCAGGGGTCCTCCCACATCAGTCCATGCCGAGAATACCCCAATCCTGGAGTGTGTCCCAAAATTGGTACCCCCTTCAAATCTTTGTGCTTCTCCACCACCTTCAAACTTTGGGGTACCCCAAATCATCACTCCCTCCAAACTCGAGCCCCCTTCAGCAAAACACCCCATTCTTCCAAACCTGTTCCCCCCATCCCACACCCCCAAAATTGGGGTTGTCACTCCTACCACCCAGAACCTGCCAGTTCAAGGGTTCCCCCACCCATCTACCCCCACCTTGGGGTTCCTCGCCTAGCAGCCCACAATCCAGGGGTCCTGCCCATCAGCCAGGTGGGCTGTTCAGCCTGGTAGATGTTCACCCCAGTAGACACCAGCCCAGTGATTGGTTCTATCCCGTGACGGGCTGTGGGGGACATCTGGACACTGCTGTGGCAGTGGGGCAGGAGCTGCTGAAGCCACCGCCTGTGACATTCACATTCTCTGGACAGAGACATAATTCTGTCTCTCTGGAAAAGCACTAAGAGAAGAAGAGAAAACAATCTTTATCTCTGCTCCTTTGTTTTCCCCATGTAGAATTTAGTATGGAGATTGTTTACCTGAAGTGACTGCTTAATTAGATTCTAGCGAAAGTTATTTAAGTTCAATGACCAATCAGATACAACTGTGTGTTGGACTCTCAGCAGAGTGTCACAAGTTTTTTAGAAGTTAGATAGGTAAGAAGTATGTAGAATAGTATAGTATCTCTTTAAATAGTATATTAATGTAATATAATATAGTTTTAATAAAACATGTCCTTCAACCTTCTGACCTGGAGCAACCTCCTTCCTGAGAGCGTTCTCTTGGAGACGGGGACAGCTCAGCGCTCCGGACGCTCGCGCCACATGTTGGTATTTGAAGGTTGACGGGGAGGAAAAGCAGATGGGAGGGGTTCTTTGCATTCCAGGGGTGTTTATTGACAGCACAGCAAAAGCAGCCAGGGACAAAGAACCAAGAACCAGGCGGGGTCCAGGATTATAAATGGGACAAGGGGGGTGGAGCATCAGGGCTGAGGGCCAATGGGTTGAGGGAACAGAGACGGGGTTAAAGGGTAACAACCACTGGGATCCAGGGGAGGAGTGGCAAGGAATGGGGTCCAACTGGGAAAGCATCAACGAGGAACGTTCTAGAAGTGGGGAGGAAAAAAGGGATGATGTAACTGGGCCCATTGACATAAAGGCACAAGGAACTGTAGGAAAATATCTTCTTGTGTCACCCTCACTTGAAGGGATGTTTCTTGCCAAGGCATCCCTGCCTCAGCATCCCCTTCCATGTCTTGGGATGCAACAAATGGGGGATGTCCATGGGGGGAGAGATTGGGAAGTCATCATTGGGACGGACATGGTAGGAGCAGAGGATGGATGGAGCCCATCAGCCAGATGTTTACCCAGGACAACATCTGGTTTTCCAACAGGTTGGGAAGGACATTTGAGGCATTAAGGGGTCACCCTGGGGGAGACAGGTGGATGAGGGACACCACAAGGACACTGGGGGACATGGTAGCAAGAGACATTCGAGCCAGAGATTGGTTCTCCAATGGGGGGTGCATCAGGGACATTTGGGGGTCACCATGGGGGTGGGGCACACAGCTGGACATGCACAGGGGATGGAGGGTGGGGAAGGGGTGTGGGTCACTATGGGGGAGGACATGGGGGGATGCACTGAAAGGACACTGGACATCATGGAGGGCATGGTGGTGATGGTGATGGTGGTTGTGGTGGTCATGCGATGATGATGATTAGGGATTTGAGTGTTGAAGACGGGGGTGGTGACAATGGTGTTAAGTGATGAAATGGTGCTGCTGTTGGTGAAGATGGTGACGGTGTCGATGGTGTTGGGTGATGATAATGGAGGTGATGGAGTTCACTGTGGTGATGATGCAGACCAAGGTGTGGGTGATAGTAACGATGATGGTGACAGTGATGGTGTTGGTTGTGTTGGAGTTGACTGCAGTGATGATGGTATTGATGATGAAGATGATGGTATGGGTGAGGAAGATGATAGACATGATGCTGGTGTTACTGGTGTCATAGTGACAGTGTCAACAGTGTTAGATGAGGAAGATATTGCTGTTGGATTTCATCATAGAGTGGGTGACGGCATGAGAGATGAAGATGAGGTTTGTGGTGATGATGATGATTATGATGATGATGGTGTGAGTAGTGTCATGGTGATGGTGTCAATGTTGTGGATGATGCAGATGAAGGTGATGATGAAGAAGATGACAGTGATGATGGTACTGTTGGTGTTGTGGTGATGATGATGGAGGTTGATGGTATGGGATGATGATGATGGAGTTGTGGGTGATGAAGACGATGGTGTTGTGGGGGATGAGGTTGATGGTGTGGATGGTTGTGGTGATGAAGATGATGGTGATGATGAAGGCCAACCCCGCTACTTGTTGAGGGCATTTCACATCTCGATGGGGCCCAGCACTGACAGCGCCATCGGCATTGGAGCCTCAAAGATGTTGCAGTCCAGACCCTCAAAGACCACGCTGGAACCTGCATGAAGAGGGGCTGGAGGGGGTCGCCAGGGGTCACCAGGCT